TATAATCTTTGCAATCGGTGAAAATGTAATATTTACTCCCGTTTGTGACACTGTGAAGGGCTAAAATGCGGGAACCAATCAGAAATGGATTCACCTTGCCTTGACTCTCAGTATTAAGGGACTCGACTGGGGCCCTGATAAAATGTATTCGACCTGGNGGGGGGGGGGGGGCTTAGGAGGAGCAGGAGAACGGACAAAAAGCGCTACGAGAAAGGCCGTTTACGTAAAGGCCCCGTGGACGACGGCAAAGGCGAAAATGAGCGGCGCACGATACCTCGGATCGGAGCACGACGGACGGCGAAACAGGTGTTGCGCATACATTAAATCCGCGTGGGGCCGGAAGTGAGAATCCTTAGCACAGAGGAAGAGAGCAGAGGTGAGGGGCCTAGACAATAATTCCCATTAAAATTAGCCGTCGCTCGTTATTCCTCCTCGCCGTCGTCCGCGTTCCGTCCCGACGTAACTAATCGCGATCGATGCGCCGCCCGCACCGCCCCGCGGCACCCGGAAAAATCGGCAACGTCACATTTTCAATGTCACTGAACTGCCGCCGACGTCGAGGCATTGAGCTGTCCGCTTTTTTCTCGGCATTTGACACCCGGCTTCGAAATCAAAATAGGCTGATGAAAAACGCCCTATGAGCATTCCGATGCTGCCGAATTTTCTCTCAGAAAATATTTATCTTTCTCCCGGAAGGCGACGGCGTGGACGTCCTGTGAAAGGTTGGCGACAAGGGGTGAAGGAGGAGATCAGGAGGTGCCAATTGCCTGATGATCTTTGGGAGGATAGGGGGCAATGGCGATTGGGCGTCGCAGAGAGCGAGGCTGCGCTATAAAAGCGAATGTTCATTCTTTAGAATAAAACCGATTTTATGATTCATATGATTCATATAATAATTATGTTCGGTTTATGTAACCGAACTTCTTTCATCAGTTGTTTTGACGTCATAAGTTCGGTTTTACGAACTTGAAGTTGGGATTTACGAACTAAAAGTTGGGTTTGACGAATCGAATGGTGGGGATGATATAGGGCACTGTGCTCTCCTTCGTTTTGTGCAATTTTACTTACTTGTAAAGCGAAATAGTTGTATCACGCTTTTCGCTCCGTCAAACTTTTCTACTCATCGTTTAAATCTCTGAGTAATCAGAAAAGAGACCAAGCTCTTTTCATTGTTGTGGATATGCGCAAAAGTTATGTTGCTTCATAATTGTGACCGGATCTATGAAAAGGGAACACGTTTTACGAAAGAGGATTCCCGAAACTTCGAACTTGGCGCAAAAAACGATAACGGGAAGCGCCTGCAAAACTGCAGGGATACTTCAAGCATCGCGCAATCTAACCGATCCCGTCTCGCTCTCAATTCTGCAGGACCAGCGAATCGCCCCGAAACAACTTTGAGTACGAAAAAAATGCAGCTTTAAAAGCTAATAACTCCGTTTATTAACAACTTTGAGGTTCTAAAAATGGCTCCATTGGTTTTCTCATAAAATTTTCTTCCCGAGGCACCCCTTGAAATTTAAAATGTGACGGAATGAGTATCAACATTTGTAGTTTTAGTCAAAAATTTCATGTCTGAGCTCTCCAATGGAGATGTTGCATGTGTGAGGAATTTGCGATTAGACTGTTAATTCTTACGCAAAAGTTCGCGAGAAACACGATGGTGCCACTCTTTTTCTCTGAAATCAACTCCCAAGCTCTATTAAAGCTCTCAAGTTGAAGCCAAAATGGAGGGGATATCTTACGCTGTCCTGAGAGTCCACCTCTACATCAAGACAAACTCTCCATGCAAAGATAGGGAGCAAATACATTAGCAGGGTTGCCGTGTTTTCAGTTTTAGAGTCCCAAATAAAGTGGCAGCCCTGTCAATGTATTTGCTCCCTATCTTTGCATGGAGAGTTTGTTTTGATGTAGAGGTGGACTCTCAGGACAGCGTGGGATATCCCCTCCATTTTGGCCTTAACTTGAGAGCTTTTTTTGAGCTTGGGATATGATTTCAGAGAAAACCAGTGGCCCCATCGTGTTTCTCGCCAACTTTTACATAAGAATCAACAGTCAAATCGCAAATCCCTCACACATGCAACATTTCCATTGGCTCGATCCACTGTGCGATGTACGAACATCGCAAAGCTTCTCAAGTTGAGCAGCACTGTTGTGGCGGAGGAAACGTACCGATTCAGGGCAACTGAGACGTTCGTTGCAGAAACGACATATGGCGTGCGTACTCCTGAGAGGCCGGCGAGACGGAGAGGCGTCAACTTAAAACGTAGGGTCCGCGACGACGGTCCAAGCGTAGAGTGCGCGGGCTGTGACGCGATGCAGGTGCAAGCTGCGCGGATTGTTTTTGAGTCGTTGCACACGCTTTTTCGTCTCGGATACGGTGGCACTGGTCTCGACTTAAAGGACACCTTGTACTCGCTTGTCTATTGGGCAGAGCTAAAAAATTGACACACTCAACCGGTTTTAATTTGATAATGATCGATAAACGCAACTGCTGCGCCGCGCCGCAGCGGCGTTGCACCGCAGGGCTTTTTGCCGAGCCGGCCAGGTTGCCGAACTTTCGTTGGCGAACTTGCGTGCCGTGAAATGGGTCCCTCGGGTTATGACTTAACAGCCACCACTTTGAAACTTCACTTTGAACGTGTCCAGCCCTTAACGGCCTCAACTTTGAAAGCTTTTTTTCAAACTTGGGAGCTGCTTCTTCTTCTTCTTCTAACGTCTGACTAGGGCCGTGACCCTGTTTGTCTAGCCTCTAAATTAGTATATAAATATGATAAATAAAATATAATGGCGATAAGAGAGATCACTTAATACTCCGGGGATGAAAGGCAGGTCCGTGCCCATCTCTTGGGCGGTCGTCCGGGTTGCCTTTGGCTATCAAGGGAGCTTTTGGGAGCTTCATCAAGAGAAACCAGTGGCATCTCCGCAAAATTTCGCCAAAAATTACGTGGACGGATCGAAAACCAACACCCTGAATATTCTTCGGCGGCGAGCTGATTATTAAAATTGATAGACAAAGCTATAGACAAAGGAGACAATTGGGAAAATGGAGGGATCCTATTGGTGGAAGCGGGTGGTCGCAATGGACTTACTGACAGTCACCCACAAGAGACCATTTGGTTGGTCCATCGAATATCCCTTGTCAATTGCAACTAACCGCTTCCACCGATAGGATCTCTTTTCTTCTCTCTTCCTCTCTTCTGTTTTCTTTTCGTCTTCTCCTTCCTTTAATCTCAATAACCAACCTGTTGCTGGACCGCGCGCTGCGTGGCGAAAGCTTCTGAACCCATCGGATCCTTGAGAAGCTTTTCCCGGGCTCCGTTCCCGAGGGGCAAGCGCCGCTTTTCCTCTTCGTTTCCGTCAAATTTGCAGAGTGAAGGAGCCACGTTAATGTAAATCCCCGGACCTTGCAGCTGCAAGCGGCCAATTAGAGATTACTGCCAGCCGCGCTGGTTGGAAGGGGCAGGGGCCTGGTTCGCGGTGCGCCGCGGCGGTGGGGCTACGGCGCGGCTGGTTTGGGCGTGGTCTGCCCTGGTAAAACTGGCGTAGCCGTGGTCGCTGGTCAGTCTGGCAGCGGGGAAAATTACGCCATTTGTACTTGACCATAGCAAGAACCAGGAGCTCCAGCCGCAGATCGCCCGCCGGACCGAGCCTTAGGTTCTCGTGTAAAAGGTACAACTTTGAACCTATCCAGCGGGTTAATTGCTGAAATTGATAGACAAAGCGATGGACCAAGAGGAGATAATACATATGGAGCGATTCTATGGGTTAATATGGGTGTTTCTTATATATAAGGGGGTAAATGGTGGACTAACTAAAAGGTCTCTCATAGTTGCCGTTAGAAAGACAATTGCCTACCTTCTTTGTCCATTGCAACCACCCGTTTCCACCAATAGGATCCCTCCATGATCCCCATGTCTTCTTTGTCTATAGCTTTGTCCATCAATTTCAATAATCGGCCCGCAGGCACACATACATAGGTGGAGTAGGGCTATCTCTATCTTTCAGGACAGAAAAACTGCGCCGCTTTGTGGTTGGTCCGAGAGTTTCGGACTTTCATTTAGGTCCAAGAATTCAAGGGAACGAACAAGGGGAAGACCGCAAAATTCTTGACGTGATGGGAAATTTCAGATTTATACTCTTGAAATGAGTTCCGAACAAACTTGGATGGCGCGCGCTATGGAAAACAAAAGCGCTTTTAACTTCCGGTACGCACACCACTCGTATCATTTGACAACAACTAGTTGCAACCGGGCTTTCTCAACACGGAAGCCGAGGCGCCTTCAATCCTTTGCATGCAACACACGCATCCCTCGAACACGTATAGTTGCATCCAGTCATAGGCGTTGAAAAAGCTATACAGCGCCTTGGATAATTTCCACACGTCCGCGATGACATGTGAAAGCTGAGGCGCCTTCAATTTTTTGAATACGATACGCACGTCCCTCGAACACGAGGAGTCGTAATCCTGGCGGTGTTACTAAAAAGACTGCATCGCCTTCAATTTGTTTTGCTTGTGGTGCCGAGAAGAGATACGTTTTGCACTATCCGTGACGCAATGTGCGTAACGTCCGTGACGTCGTTCTTTTTCAGAGCTGGAACAAAGTTTTTTCTGTTCTGCCACGGGCTATCCAGTGGCGTGGCATGCTTTGCGATACGTCGATTGATCTGCCATTTAAGTAATCGATTCATTACCATGGCTTTAAATGGGAGAATATCGATAGTATATCATTGACGCTTCGCCACTGGGGCTATCCCTCAATTTTGATCCGATTCATGAGTTTTTGAAGCAAGAGAAAAGGTTACTCATGACGGAGGTTGAGAAAGAATCCACTTTGACATCCAAATTACTCTAAGACAGCACGGATCTGACTAAAAAAGAGGTGTAAACACTGGAAAGCCGCAGAACGCATAAGCTTGATCGCTACGATTTGCCGGACGACAAGAGATCAGATATATAATGATAAAAAGAAGTCGTATAAAAATGGAAAAATTTTACTTACTCCTTCATTCCCATTATCTAGGAACTGGATTGTGGGGTTTTCATTGCATTTATTCTGAAACAAACCAGTAAACAATACGACATTAGAATTATTTCGAACAGAGACACAAATGAGGTTGCATAATTTGATGAATAAATTCAGACGTGACTTTAGTCACGGATATAGGAATCGATATTCGGTACGAATCGATTCATTCTATTTCACAGCATATGCGGAGGTTAAACTTGGATTCGATTTGGTGGGGATGAAACCGATTACAGGGGTTTTAGAGGACTCGATTCAAGCGATGACTAACGCTCTTCCTTATGTATCGATGGAGTACACCTATCGAACACTTTCAATGTCTACCTCCGATGGTATTCAGAAACCATTCAAAACAGACGACTGCGAACTAAACTTGGACAGTGTTACGGAAAATCACACGCATGTCTCCTTGGTGAATAAGAAAGTGCAACGCTCGAAAACACTTCGTACTCACCGAGTCATATAGTTTAAATTCATGAGTACGCTTCTGTGAGAGGAACAGAGCAGTGGCAAGGTGTGAATGATCGATAATCGATATTTCGCCGTTTGTAGCTATGGTAAAGAATCGATTATTAAGGTGTTCGTTGCGAACAACCGGTTTATCGATCCTTTTCCGTAGGTTTAAACGGCCGATCAATCGATGTATCTTAAAGCACGCCACGCCACGCAACGGATAGAGGATACATTTGTTTCCAGAATTAGTAATGTTTCATGATGAATCATACATGAGACGGTAAGCTACACCGAGACCATCACTTCTCACTGTGGATCAACAATTATATAGGCTCACAAAATGTAATTGCACGTGCTTGGCATACGGGGCACCCCTAAAAAGGTTGGCATCCTAATTTTTATAGCACCTATTTGAGGGGCAAGACACATGCCAATGACGCCTCGCCGCTGCGATGGAAACGATTCAACTCATAAGTACGAAATAACTATGTACTCCAGTAAGCGTTAATTCTAAATTCTCAATCGCCGAATAACTAAAATCTACTTGAGTCAAATCGGCCGGTAAACTTATCTAAATCGTGCTTACGAATGTAATAAGTTTTACCTATTCGGAGTGACTCTACACACATTTTTAAGTAAATGTGCATTGAGGGAGATAGGATAGACATTTTTGAAAAACTTGATTTCACTTATTCGCCGAACGAAAAATTATCAATGGTTAATTCGAGCTGCGTTGATCTTGGTTTTTTCGCGAGCGGAAAGTTTAATTCCTTGATTGTAATGTAAACAACGACGCTTATCTCTCACGTATGTGTTGATTCTAGAAATTGTCAATATGCCCACTGTGATTTTGCACGAACTTAGCGTGAGGAATAATGTCTTGAGCTGCACACAGAGCCTCAATCTTGAAGGATAGTTTTCTATAATAGAACGCGTACGGATAGTTTTCTATCATAGAACGCGTAAGAATAGTTTTCTATAATAGAACGCGTAAGGATAGTTTTCTATAATAGAACGCGTAAGAATAGTTTTCAATAATAGAAAACTATCCTTAATAATTAGGCAATGTCCTCTCATGGGGAAATCGATGAAATGACCCACCATAACTTCTCAGTGCTGAAGCTAATAAAGATGGAACTTGCGGGGTATTTTCTAGCAAAATAAATTCCCCATTCGAATGTCCCCGGAAAACCAGTGAATAGACAACCCAGAGTTATTATCCGGCATAGCGGGCTAACAATTGGACTACATTTTGCAATTAGGAACTATGATTTCCAAAATGTAGTCCGATTGACATTGATAGACAAAGCTATGGATAGAGAAAACAAAGGGAAAATGGATCGATCTTACTGGACGAAACGGGCGGTTCTTTCAGACTGAGGAGGGGGGGGGGCGCAACTATATACTGCCGTGTTCGAGGAAAACGCCGTAAAAACTTTCAGAGGCTGCCGTAATTCCTTCACCGGGAAAATTGTGAAGATTTTTTCTCAAAATTTTCGGACAATTTTTCCGCGCTTTGATCTAAAATATCTGGAAATTAAAGGGAAACTATCCAAAACTTTCCTTACAAATACATGTTGTATTCGAGGAAATTAGGCAACTTTTGAAGGTTCATAAAGCGTCCTTCCTTAGAACGGCAGTACAGGGTCTCTCTTGGATTGCCGTTCATGAGTCATTTACGTACCTCCTTAGTCCTTTGAGACTACCCGCTTTGCACCAATAGAATTCCCCCATTTCCCCTTTGCCTATCAAGTACAATAATTAGCCAGCAGAAGCTGAAAGCGAGGGAGCTTGCTGGGAATTTGTTCTGCTTAAGAGATGAGCAGGTATACAGATAACAACGACCAAAGTTGATGCTTTCCCATTCAATGAGCGAATAATTACCGACGGCAGCGAAAAAGAAGAAAAAAAAACCAACGGGGGGACGGGAAACAGGCAGAAAAACAACGAATTATTATTCTATCGAGAGCCGCCGCGCCGCACAGTGGATCGATACAATAGGAGGGATCCGACAAAATTTGCAAACTGTAAACGCTGATAATTACGTTCATACAAAACTTAGAGGGTTCGAGAGTGGTTCCATTGGTTTTCTCGTGAAATTTTCCATCAGAAACACCCCTCAGAATTTAAAATGTGACAAAATAAACATAAAAATTTGCAGTTTTAGTCAAAAATGTCAAGTCCGACCCCTGTAATTGACTCGCTCCACTGTGCGCCGCCGTGTTTGCTCGTCACTCGTCTCGGGGAGACGACGGGAGGGGGCGGGAAGGGGGGGGCGATGACGTTTATGATAAATGATGCTTATTTTGCAACACACCGCGCTCCGTGCGGCACGGCGGCCGATCCTCCGTCGAGCTAGGCGCCGTGTCACGTGACGTCACAGACCGCGTGCGCCCGTGACGTCGGTCTCACGTCACCTCCTTGAAATTCAGCCACCCCCGCCCCCCGCCGCCGCGACGGCGGCGCATCGCTTCCAGACGACGGGGAAAAGCCACGTTTGGGCCTGCGAAAACAGTGCGGGCTCGGGCGAATTTCAGGAACGGACGGCACAGCCTCGACACCGGAGACGTCATCGGATTGGAGTACGTTTTAAAATTAGGAATACCATACCTGGCTCAGTTCAGAAACGACGTATGTGTACCATTCACTGGTAAAAAAAACCTCTTGGTTCAAGAGTTCAGTTTCTTGTCGCCGGATTTAAGAGTCTGGACTTTTGTTTCAATGCAAAATCCGCTTGAAACAAGAGTTCAAGACTTTTAAATCCGGCGACAAGAAACTGAACTCTTAAGTCAATGCAATGCGGCATTGGTCCAAGAGGTTTTTTTGCCAGTGTTATTTTCCCTAAGCACATAAGTGTTTGGCGGGGGAGCCAGGAAGCGTAGTTCCTGATTGCAAAATGAAAATTCGAATGAAAATGATCGTGCGGATGATTGTGCGAATTTCACTATTTCAGTGGAGTTCATTTTTCCTAAGCACATAAGTGTTTGGAGGAGGAGCCAAGAAGGCGTATAGTTCCTGATTGTAAAATGAAAATTCGAATGAAAAGGATTGTGCGGAGTTTCGTGCGAATTTCGGTGGAGTCTATGCATGGTACAAAGCAAATTCCTTAAAATTTTCGAAGGAACAAGCATCTTCAACCTAACGAAGTCCAATTGGACAGCGCTAAGCAGAAAAGAACCAAGTCACATCAGCCACTGCCAAATTTAATCTGGCAGTTAAATCTTTTACACGAAAACGGTTGTGCGGATTGTTGTGCGAATTTCAGTGGATTTCCGGAATTGTACGAAGCAAATTCCTTTCAATTTTCAAAGAGATCCGCACACACGTTTTCTTGCAAAATATGAAATTTCCCAGTTAAAGGCAATGACATAGTGGCTTAGTTCCTTTTCTGCTCAACGCAGTCCAATTATGCCGCGGTAGGACGGGACGATGACGGATAGAGTTTCCTTCGTGGGACCTACCCGATTCAGTGGCGTGACGTGAATTGTGATATATCGATTGTTATGCCATTTAAATGTATGGAAAAATATCGACAAACAGGGTGTTTGCAGAGAACATCTTAATAATCGATTCTTTACCGTAGGTTTAAATGGCATAACAATCGATACATCGCAATTCACGCCACGCCACTGACCCGATCTGCCAAAATTCGACGACACAGAGAGAGGGCGATTCAGTATACTCGGCCTGCGCGCAACGCGAGGAAATCTGTAAACTCATGAGGACAGTTTTCAATAAATGGGTTTTCTCTTTGCAATCATCAGCTTTTCTGTTTTGCTTAAACGGAAATATCGAAAATATGGTTCGAAATAAGAAAAGCAGGCTGAAATCAGACACTTTTTCTCTAAAACTATCCTCGAAAGATATTATTGGTCACTTATGAGACGAAATAAAAGGCCGTGAACTTGCCAAAATTCCCTGCCTTTGGGACTTCAACCGAACAGTGGCGAGGTGTGAATGATCGATTATCGATATTTCCTCATTTGAGGCTATTGTATACAATCGAATATAAAGGTGTTCGATACGTACGCCCTGTCTATCGATCTTTTTCTATAACTTTAAATGACAGATCAATCGATGCATCGCAAAGCACGCCATATGCCACTGATCGAGGGGTGGAAGGTCTCTGGGCGGTCGATCGAAAGCAATGGCAAGGCGCGAATGATCGATTATCGATAAATCCCCATTTGAAGCCGCGGTAAAGAATCGATTTTTAAGGTGTTCATCTTGAACACCAGTAGCGTGGCGTGAATGATCAATTGATGATATTTCCCAATTTGAAGCTATGGTAAAGAATCGATTAATAAGGTGTTCGTTGCGAACGCCCTGTTAATCGATTCTTTTCGATAGGTTTAAACGGCAGATCAATCGATCTATTCGAAAGGTGGAAGCGGAAGGAGAAGGTAAACGAAGAGATTCAATTCGCACGTGAGAGGAGGGAGCAGATGCAGATGCTGACAACCTTTCGACCCCGGCCGCGACGCCGTACAGTGGATTGAGTCAGCAGGAGAGATCGGACAAAATTGTAAAACTTTCAACGCCTATACCTCCGTTTATACAAAACTTTGAGGCTCTAA